AAGAGGGCAAAGCGATCTAAGAAGGATGAGGCCAAGGGTGCGGAGGACACTGCACCCAAGAAGTCCAAGGAAGCCAACAAGACTGAGCCTGAGGTGAAGGAATCTGCGCCCAAGAGGGCAAAGCGATCCAAGAAGGATGAGGCCAAGGGTGCGGAGGACACTGCGCCCAAGAAGTCCATGGTGGATGAGGCTGAACCTAACAAGAGTCCCGACAAGAAGCCCGCAGATGGCAACAAGCGCAAGAGCAGAAAGGGGCAGGACAAAGCGTCAACTTGGGCAGGGCGCTGGATTCCTTCAGACCCCATTGCCCTCTCAAAGTTCCAGGCCATTCAGTCCATTTTCAACGAGTGCATTGCCCCCAAAGTGAGGTCCCAGTCGTCGCTCCAAAGCCCCTTCTTCAAGGTTTGCAACTCTGCATTCAAAGCCTTGAGTTCCACGGCGAAGGATGAGGACTACAAAGCATGCGCTAAGCTTCAGGTGGAGAAGTTCATGGCGGACGAGCAAGTGCGTGCCTGGTTTAGAAATTTGGAATCCAACTATTTTGTTTCTATTCAGCTGATGCCCAAATCATGGAAGACAAATAGTTGAAAGACCCTGAAAAGAACATGTCAATCAACTACTTTCAAACTAGTGAATCTCACCCTTTGCCATTGCTCGCATGCATCCAAGGCAAGAAGCTTCTTGCTGAGGGCAGCTGATTTTGTGAAACATCTCGAATCTTGCCGTGGGGTGTCGGCAACTGATTCGATACAAGAGCTCGTGTCTTGGGACACCATACAGTGGTTAGGTTGCCTTAGAATGCGCCAGTAGCAGCAAAGTGGCAGTCCTGGCCACATCGGAGTTGTGCTGCGGGATAGAGGCATTTGCCCACCTGCAGTTGAAAGACTTTGGTTGTGTCCCCGTGAAAATGTACAGCAAATCGCAGGGTCAGTGGCAGGGTCCTTTTGCAGTCCTCTCTGGGAAGGCCTTTCATAAATGGATAATTTCAGGGCCTGTCTGTGGTTGAACAGAACATCACACTTTGAACAAAACCCCTCCCGTTGTCCTGCATTACCCATCCAGTCAAGTGGATTCAAGTGCCACCTTGGATTTGTTCTCGAATCCAAAGCCG